CTGGTGATGGTGCTAAAAATTAAAAACAATCAAACTATTTTTTAAAGTTTAGTAGTAAATACGGTAGTTCATTTTTTATTGCAGCCCTGGAATATTGAGTACTTTTTCACTCATTTGAATGGTTTAAAATGGTTTAGTCTAGTTTGAAAATTGTCCTTATATTCGAAGGATTTTACTATTAACAATTTTCTTAGTTTACGTTTTGATAATTTGATAAAAACGTAATAAATAATATTAAAGTTGCTTAAATTCTCCAAAATGCGAACTTAAAAAAACCATTTAAATATTAGATGTAAATACATTTGAAATCAACGCACAAATTTTAGTGTAATAATGACTATGAGAATGATATCTAAAAAAGGACTGTAGGACCATCATTTCGTCCATGAGAGGGAGATGGGATTTTTTTGAGAGTGGGAGCACCAGTCTAGTTTGCCTATGTGGATTTAAAAGCTTAAGGTGGGATTGACAGTATAAAACAACGAAATACATAAGCGATCTGCGAAGAAAAAGTTGTCCTTTAAATACTAAAAAATTGCGTTGATTTTGGTTTGGCTTGAGAGACAAAATATATATGATTTAGATTAGCCAATTTATTCCCAGAATCATTTTCCTTAAACGAGTTTGTTTCTACTTACATTATCTTTATCTATTAATTTGTAATAAATGCATTTAAAATTAATAAACACCAATAATGGTCGCGGTTTCACATCTCATCAACTGTGCGAGTGGATAAAACCATTAATAGATTTTTTCTTTTTCCGTCACGTGGGCACTAAGAGGGCCACATAGATTCGAGCCAGGATCACAGTTGGGCGACCGAGTGATGTGGGACGGGGCCCTACATATTCGAACGGACTACCCCCAAAAATTCCTGGGGAGTTTTCGACACGATTGGATTCGATCCCTAGTCCCCCAGAGCGGTAGGATGCATATCTTAACCGTTCGGCCGTCGTCCCATCAATCCACAATATTTGAAAGTTTCTTTTGAAATTACTGACAGTTCTATTTTCATTTTTTTTAAAAATACTTGTTCAAACCGGATTTTCTCATCGAGTGTTTAAGGCACATTTAATCCCTTTTTATTTTTTTACTTATTCCATATGCCCCCTATAAAAAAAAGGAATGTCACATCCAAACAACTAAGTGTTTCATTTACTATAACATAAAATTTGGTTATCATCAATTGATGTAACCTTTTTTTTTTTTAAAAAAAGCAACTTTTTTTGCTCTGTAGGCACTAAGAGAAGTAAAAGGAAGTAAGGTTAGTAAGAGAAACACTAAAAAGTAAGAGGGCCCTTTTAGCATATGCATAATGGAATGGCCGGAGAATGAGGCTCGTGTATCCGAACAGGACCATTCACAAAAAATTCCTGGGTTTTTTTTATTCGTTCGGATTTGTTCCCGAGTGTTTCAGAGCTGTAAACTACCACCTTATTTGTGCGGCTATCCGGCCGTCCAATCGAGGTAACCAAATTATTGATTTTTCAGAATGATACGAAACAGGAAATATAGTCGAAATTATTAATATTTCTTGCTTATCAAGGTCATTCTATTGGAATCAGAATGTCCTTGGTATCTGCCTATGTTTTGTTTAACCAAATTTTTAAAAATATTCTCTACATAATAGGCCCATTATTTATAATAAATGTTAACCTTATTTTAAGATATATTACCATAATACTTAATGTCCATCATGTTTAAAATAATTAATTAGATTTATATTTTTAGTACTTTAATACATGTTTTCCTTAATTAATACAGTAAGTGAATAAAATTGTTCATAAAACGGTAAATTGGAGAGTGCACATTATGCATTCTTGCCATACAATCTCAAAAATTCTCTCTTAATACTTATATTTCCATCTCAGTTCATCGGATATTTTAATAATGATGTTTGTACTTACCAATTTTTTTTTCTGCCCTGTAGGCACTAAGAGGGTCTCATTTAGCAATCCCTTAGGTTTATGGGTTTGAATAGACCGATAATGAGACGGGAAGACAACTCTCACCTCATGACTTTCTAGAGAGTCGTCCATCCCAACATTGGGACGGACAACTCTCTAGAAAGTCATGAGGTTTTTCGACCTATCCAGATTCAATCTTGGATCCACAGATTGATAGGTTGCTACCTTAACTGCTCGGCCATCCGGTTATTAACTTTCTCAGTCATTCGACCATCGAAAAAATGTAGTATATCATTGAAATATATTCAGAAAGTTATAAGATCTTTCGAGTGAATTGTTTTGTTGTGCAAACAACCTCTGATTTTTTCCTGTTTAAGTATAAATATGCTATTACTCAACAAGATTAATTTCTGTAAAGTAAATATAGTATTTCATGGTCATTTTGGTTAGCTTGTATATGAATTAGATTTCTTTCCAGGAAGCAGGATATCATAATCTGAGACTCGACTGTTTTTATTGAATTTGAAAATCCCAAAAATTAGAAAAATACCCGAAAAATCCGAAGTATTTCCTGAATGAGTAAAAACCTGTAGATTTTAATTCCGTGCTATTTAAGATGTGGCAATCTGGAAATGCTGCCCAATTCTCAGACTTCGATAAAAGCATCTATAGATTATATTATTTAAGAAAACGTTTTAAAAATGTTAATTGACTTTTTAAATGCTGTAAGATAAAATAAATTTTAGATAAAAATATACTATCATTGCTTATTTTTATTTTTTTATATTTTTTATATTGGTTAAATATCCTTATGTTAAGATTAGATAAGTATGTTTAAATAAAAAAAATTTGTTTAAAAAACAATTAATTTTCTTATTTGTAAATACAGTTAATTGCAATTTAAATAATACGCTGCTTTTGTGCTTTATTTATACTCTGAAAATAAATAATAAAATGAAAAATGCTTAATAAATAATTTCTGGATTTTTCGAAATCCAGAAAGATGGTTGTTTTTCTTTTAGCTCTTTTCGCCCTATGGGAAATAAGAGGACTTTTTCAACAAGCCTATAATAATAACCAGGTCCACAATGGGGTGTGAAGTATCGGAATAAACTATTCTCCAAAAATTCTTTGGGTTTTCCGACCCATCCGGATTCGATACCAAGTCCCCCCTCCCCCTCCCCCTC